ATTATCGACCCTCCACCCATTCCTTCCCATGCTTGCTATACCTTCAGCACTCGTCAACCTGAACCAATCACATACCTGTACATGCCCTATACATTACTCCACAAAGGTCACGCATACTAAACTTTGTACCTTTAAACCTATCGTATATATACACGTATTCATTTCATTCATACAAAAAATTTAACTGCGGCAGAATTTTAACCCGACCAATTTCCACATTTACAATATTATTGCAGTCTTTGTACATAATTTACATGAAGTAGTTTCTCTGTCTTGTTTTTAACAGAAAGAGTTAAGAGAGACCTCCTACACTTCTTCGATGCAGTCATCCCGATTCCTGGGGGACTGCCAGGAATTATTATTATATTCTTTATTACACAGTGCTCGATTGCGAGTGAAAACGCTTGCTGAGAAGGATCGACCAAGTATACGTTTGTATTTTTACCACAAATCGCCCATTGTGTACCACAGAATACAATGTACTAAACATTTAACGTATTTCTACGCTCGGAGCGACGCTTTGTTAAGTCCAAAATTCTAAAACCGTAATAAAAAAGTAAAAAAGCTAGAATAAAAATAAATCCTACCTACCTGCACGTTTGATCGCAGACACATACCGTAAAATATGGAATAGAAAAGTGAATTATTGAATGCTATGAACTGGAAAGACGTAGCAATAAATGTGATGCAAATTAAGACGAAACTGTTGGCTGCAAATTCGGAAATATCGATAAAATGACGATTTACTTGAATAAAAAAAAGGAATTCAATCAGTTAGCTGGAAACAGTGTATGAAACATGCATATTCTACCAGCTCTTTATTGGTACGTTCCAGAGGCGGGCGGCTGGCGGTGGGGGAGGGGAGTCATGGGAACGTACCCTTTCTCAGAAATTGCCGTGCTTGTGGGAGTGTCATGAAATTAAAATTTGAAATGTACACAGCCGGCCTAGGGTACAAGCCACAGTCCATATTCCAGTTCCCCTTGAAAACAATGTGTGCAATCTCAAGGCACCTTAAGAAGTTTCTTCCCAGTTACGCCATAAAGTTATACGCGCTTTTAGAGGCGGATCCAGTATTTACCAAGGGAGGGGGTGCACAGTGGCAATAAAACCCGAACTGCATTGGACGGACATAGCAACTGGATTAGCCATCTAGAAAAATTACAAATCATCTGGATACTTGGTGTGAGAATCATTTGACTGCTCACCCTTACCAATAGACAACAGATGAAGAGGGGAGGATGTGCCTCAAAAAGGGGAGACGGGGCTGCCAGCTACAGCGTTACATGAATTTCCTGAGATGCACTTTGGCTTATCAAATTGAGTCTTTGTAATTACCTGAAATTGTGCTGTAGTTGCATTCTTTTTATGTTGACAATTTTTATTTATTTGATTTTTTTATTGCTCTTAAGTACTATAACTAAGCTTTAGAAAAAGCTACCGTTACGTGTTACTTAGAAGTTAAAAGCTACTGTTATTGCAAATATTGGTACATGTAGAGACTTATCTGGTAAAACAAAATTGAATTAAGGAACCCTTCAAATTTGCTGTTTTCTAATTGGAAGGGATTATTTGGCAACGAATTCGGGTAATTCTGTTCGTATAATTCTCAATGACCTACCTTTTCACCGGTGTCCTGTTTGTAGTAAATTTTAGCCACATACAGAACTATACCAGACACGCAGAGTGGGCCGATAAGGCGAGCGAAGTCGCCGGCCAGTTTCATAATCCCAACCCAAACCATCTTAAGGAAGCAGATACGGAAGATGACTTTACCGAGCGAGGGCTGGTGACCTTTGACCACTGCCTTGTGCTGACGTGGGAAATGGGAGGGAGAACTGGCAATTTTGAAGTAATTTGCAAAGCTAAAACCAGTTGCAACATCACACCAAGATTGAAGGCAATGGTAATCGTATATTTTATTATTTGCATGTGTAAAACTTTCCAATGCCCTAAGTGGGAACCCCATTGATCGTCGTCCTACCGCACGTTGTGCTCGTTCCCTTTTGGTCACATGGAAAGGCAGGAAGAAGTCGGAATATGCGATTCGTTGCGAATTTACAGAGTCCGTTTACTTGAATGCTTGGTCAGCACAACACAGCTTCTTAAAATATCTTTTCTGTTTGTTGCTTGCTGAAGAAATCCCCTGACAAATGAATGACTTAGTATCCAAAGCACATTCACTACGTTAAACAATTTTTTTAAAACAACTGATATGTATTGCTATCAAAATGCCTGAGTGACATTATACGGGACGCAGTTTTGCAAGTCAGAATTAAACTGTTAGATTGTTCGCTCGGGGAAATATAGAGTGATTGACATCACAAAGAAATACACTGTACCGTTAAAATTCATCTGTAATTGCATCGTAAGTACACTTGACTCTATGCTGCATGCCCACATTACAGAAAGTAAAATTTTGACGTTCATATGCACAAGTACCCAAAGTTATACCATTCTTGGAATGTTATAAAATGCATAGTTGATGGATTATATATAAATTTCATAATTTTACTGGTGTGGTGAAAATATGAGCCTATACTATTGCGTCAGAAAGACAATACCTGCTCTCTTTGGAACTCCTTCTTGATCTGTTGCTGGAGATGCTCGGCGCTCATTCCCTCCAGCAACCTGCCCAAGTCGTCTATCTCTATTGACCGATGGTAACCCACGAAAAAAAGCCAATCCAGCCACCAGAAGACCAGCTGTGAAGCGAAGCTGACGTAGCCGCTTCGATAGAGTGGACATGGGGGAGATATGTCCTCAGATGTTTCGTCCATCCTACGCCATCTGCGACATGACGCCTGTCAGTTTCGAGAGACAAACTATAATTGTACTTGACAATATCAGCAACTATAGCCAGATTATAGAGGTATTTTGTACAGGCCTTAAACACTAGTGTTCCGCGGACCCTACTGAATCATATGCACCGACACTAACTTACCGCTGGCACTTTGCATTTTACATTGATAATTATACTAGTGAGCCTGTATGACCTAGCTAATTTGAAGCTTTTTCAAATTTTTTCAAAATATTTGTAGGCCCTTGGCACAGTTATGCTGGTTAATACGGCCCTGCATGCTATAGTTATACGGAACATAAGTACAGCATGTTATCTTGGAGGGGTACATTCTCTATCCCCGATAGATAAAAGCTTGAAGTGAAGTAATATTTGGTTAATACCTTAATTAACTATTTTTTCCCTGTCATTATTAATCATTTAATAATTTCATGCTGTACAGTGTAACACAAAGTGCTACTTTGTCCCTATTTAATTTTGTTAATTTGATTTCGCACCCTTAAGTGTCTCATCTTTACCCGGATGACATTTAATTCCAACATGAGAAGCACCACAAAGCAAATCAGTTTTAGTACCACCAGGTCAAACCGGGTAATCGTCACTGATCCTTGGTCCAGCTCAAGTAAGTTTAAGAGCCTTCCAATCTCTGTCAGAGCCACCGCTGCATAGTAGAAAAGTAGGAGGAAGGCCATGCCACCAACTTGCCAAATCTCCATTTGTTGGCAGAAGACCAGAGAGACGATCACAGCGACTAGTGCGCAGATTGACGGTGCGTACAGATGGGGCTGAGTTGCCCCTAGACTCTGGATATAAGTTTCATCTGTCAGGATGCCTTCAGCTAAGGAGGCAAGGAGGAGGATTAACAGGAAGATGGACACAGACCATCTTACAGAATGACCAGGAAACCGGATGAGGTATTCCGAACTTCTACCCTTACTGCAGCATGTGCAGCATCCTAGGAACAAGACGACAGAAGACAGGAGGATAAATCCCAGGTGAGGAATGAAGTCCAATGCGTCTACGAAACAAGTGTTGTCGTGCCCGTTGACGAGCTTGAAACCTCCCGAGCTATCCAAGTCTGTAGAGTTTATTCCACAGAGCCACTGCCAACCCGTACTGGCGTGTGCACGCGCCATAACTATTCCTGAGTGCAGCTGAAATTTGCAAGTTTCAGGAACTACCAGCAATGATATTACAAAACCTTTGTTGATGAACTATCAATATAAAACGTGTCGTTCACAGCATTTTCTCAGTGTACGCGTTGCAGGAATACATTTACATGTACAACAGCGAGCAAACGACAGATAGTGTATTTCATGCAACCATGATCATGAGACCACTGTACTTTTTATAACAGAAATAATTAGACTGAATTTTGAAGTGAATTAACAGATCAGATGATAACAAACATGGCCTATTGACCCGAGTCATGTAGTCTTGATTTTAGAATGATATCGTAACTAGCAGTTCTAGTGTACAGCCTGTGTACACCTCTGCTATTTCATCAATCTAAATTATCTTCGCAAAACTAAAATTGTAAATGTAGTCAATTTTGCCTCGTTACATTCAGCGAACTTTATTCAGACGCTAAGCCTCTTACTGGTGTCGATTTTGTACAAAGCTAAACAAATAAGTATCTCTCTGTCATCAGACTTGTTTTTGTATGTGGTGTTGTGTGCCAAGCGTGTTACAGGCGCGACCAAGTTATTGTCTTATGGAAAATAATCGCGCAAAGTGTGAAAGGTCATGGGTATGCAAATTGCCATGGGTATGCAAACGCACGATCAAGGAGACACAAATTTGGACTTGCATGACTTACATTCATGTCTGAAACGTTATTGCAACATTACCACTATTTTACACCTTCCTTGAAGCAGTAAAGGGGAGAAACTTCAACAGCATGGTTTATTGGTCATTAAATTTCCAAATTCAGTAAGAATGTGTCACAGCAGTAATGGCGTTCAATCCCGGTTGCCCAATCAATCATTGGACGTGTTTGTCGTCGTTAGCCCGCTGTGGCGTCGCACGGATCACCACGGGAGTTAAACATTTTCTGCTTTACGGACCTTCTTTTTCTTCTTAAACCATGTTGTGGATCCAGTTTGTATGGCATGGCCGATCGATGATTTAAGAAGGATTGCTTAGACGGTTAAAAAACAATATTTTTGAATGTAAAGAAAACAGGCGACCCTATAATTTGTATAAACATAGCGGTGAAGTTACTGCCGTAGACTGGCAGCCTCCTCGATTCTGTCTTTCCTTCAGATTTATTTCTACTTAATATAATCTAAATAGAAATGTTACAAGAATGCTAAAGCAACCTTGTCGATAGGGAAGTCCATGTAGGAAGAAAATCTTGATGAAAGCTATTACAATAGATTCCTTACCCTGCACACAGAATTAAACTTTACGTAACACATCTGACACAGGACAAGCACGAACAGGAAAGACAAAACAAATTTAAAACAATTTACGGCGTAAAAACCTACAGAGACATCATTATAGGAATATACTCACTGTATAATCAGTGCAGATTAAACATTACAGTATGTGAGCAAGCACTCAGGGTTAAGCTCTTAAATAAGAGCTGTCTGTACTGTCTAGTCTGATGTCAGTAGATAACAATATAAATATCGATATGGAACATTTTTTCAAATGAATTAGTACACAAGTTGATGCATAAAGATTCCAAGCCGGAAATGATAAATGTCATTATCCTTAAGGGTATCATGGTTTTTACTAATGTATTGTAATGAGTCCTACAATCTGCTGGCTCAAAGATATGCAGGGCCTTTCATTAAACAACAAACAAGAATTCTGTTTTAACTACAAGTAACTCATATTGTCCTAAGCAAATACCATACAGCACCGAGGACAGAATTAATGCATTGTAAATATATCAAAGAATGAAAATTTATCTGAATTTGTTAGTAATACCTGTAGTCCTGGAAATAAATTTACATATATACTTCGCATGATTTTTCCATGGTAATTTTACATTATGTAATAGACCCAGAATTCAGATTACCAAAGGGTAAATTCTATTTATTGGCTTTAATCCATTTGGAAACACCAACGAGATCTAAATTGTGACCGTGTTTACCATTGTGATCAAATTTTCATAAGACAATGAAAGAAGTTGAAATCGTGAGCAAATAAACACATACGGCATGATCCCTTGAATCCTGTCACAATCATTATGTACGGTAACAATCATGCAGTAATATAGGTATAGAAAAAACTGCGTGCTCCCCATGGGGATCCTTGAGGAGCCCCGCACGGTATCCTTACACCATAAAAAGAGAAGCCCATATTTCTTACTTGTTATACGTAATCTCAATTACATGGAAACTTAATACTTCTAAATGAAATGAACTATAAACAATAAATAAGCGAATAGACGAATATTGGCCCGCAATAACGGTACATACAGATCCGACTACGCCTGAATATAGCCCCTACGCCTAAATATAGCCTCCCTCATCAAATCATCGCTTGCATGTTGTCGAATGATTGATCCCAAATATGACGCAGTCTCACAGCAGAAACAGAATAGAAGTTTCAAATGCCATCGGTGAAGGCGAACTAAGTCAAATATTCACATGACATTTTTGAGCTCGTTGGACGTGTAATAAATACTATGCAGGCGGCCATTTATTTTCAATAAATGGAATCTTTCATGTTGAACAGTAGGGACACTGCATCTATTGTCTCCTAGAATAATTAATCTCACCGCTGCAGGCATAAATATTCATAACTTACGAATATAAAACTGCTGACGCAGTGAGTACACTGATTACGGTGCAGCATGAATGTTTGCATTTAATTGTTTGGGCTCTGAGGATAAAAGTAAGGATCTGTCTGAACAGTAAATAATCAACTCGTACTAATAAACACCAATTTTATGGCTGTTGTACTCTAATTCAGATGTGACTGTTAAACCTTCCGTATACTGGGGTCAACTCCACGCATCTCAGTCACGTGCTTCGCAGCAATGCGTAAGGCATCGGGTCAAAACCAAATTGATAACCATGAGCGCACCAAGTGCTCCCATTCCCAAGAAGTCGAATTCGTAGTTTTCAGTTACGTCATGGATCCAACCTGTTGAACCAACAATAAATCAATATAATTATTTTCTCATTTGATCACCTGTCTCAAAGAATTCGATTGATTCTAATTTAATTTACTGTATCAAAACAAAGGGAAACGATTCAATCCTAATTTGATTGATGAATTGTCATAATAAAAAAATCTCAATTTAGATTTTTAAGGTAAAAACCAAGACCATATGTTTTAGTTCAACTTATGTATTTAATCCCCCGTTTAGCGTGCATTTTGTGGGACTTTACTTCAAAACCAAAAAGCTTGTACTTTAAATAACTTTTGAGCCACGAAATTTCCATCAACCTGATGATCAGAGACACATGCTGTTTTGTACACGAAAGCTCTGATAAAATTGATGGAAGTGTCTAAATGACGTAATTCTAAGCTTAACCTATTACACGAAGCATTATTTTAGCATAGTCGATCAGGCTTGCAGTAGTGTTTCAGGTTGAAGTGTGACAATAATGAATAGGAAAAGCCGTTCGCCATGGCTGTAAATCCCGGGGGATGGAGAAATTTGTCCCCCCTCCCGTTCTGAGGTGGGGATGGAATATTGAATCATCCCCCCGTTTTTTGTGGTGAGCAAAAAAGTTAAAGTGGATGGTAAAGAACTTTGTAGACTTCCAACGTCTAATTGCATTCAGTATCATTCAAAAAGGAAGAACAAATAAAACAGTCATAAATATGCCATTCTCAGAATACACATTACACATGTACATTAATACCAAGAACAATGATCTTTAGATGGAGTCACTTTGTGTCACTCGTCGTGTTTGAAATCTTCCGCCCCATATATACCCACCTTTTCCACCCCCCTTTCCAGTACACATTTCCGCTACTGCCTTTAGCACGGATAAAGAAACGCAGTACAGTACAACTAAATATAAATTTACCGGCGAAGAAACCACCAAGTAGCTGGCCTCCACCATGTGAGAGGAAAAGCCAGCTGTAGGCTGATGTCTGCTGATCTCCTGTGATTTCCCTCATCACCACAAAACACAGCGGATAGATAGCTCCAATTGCAATCCCTGATACGACAGCATAAATAGCCAGGGTTGTGTAGGAAGACGTAGCTAGTGGGTTGAGCCCGCAGGTAACTGCAAAAAGCAATGCGGACAAAGCCAGTAGCGTGGACGCCTTGATGAGGCCACGATCAACTGCAGTCCCGTGGCCCAAGCGACCAACCAGAGATCCCAGCCCACCGTACGTCGCTAAGAAAGCTGCTGGTCTATCCCCGAAGCCCAGCTCTATGCCTTGGGGAATAAGGAACAAGTGCCACATGCTGTAAACCATTCCGTTCAGTATAGTGGTTAACTGGTAGAGAACAAACACTGGCTCTGTCAGGACCTCGGTGTCAAAACGATCTCGGAGGAACTCCAGGAGAATGGAGCAGATCTTCTTGACGCTCACTCGACTCGTCATTCTCTCTCGTTGACTGTTGGAGGACTGGCTACTGGACTTCAAATATTTTGGGTCCACGTCATCATTGTGACTAGGCAACAGATCATACTTTCTTGGTTTACTATGTAGTGGTCTCAGAAGTGCCCCACACACGACGTGGTTGAAGGAAAAAGCACCCAGAAGTGCAAGGGCGGATCGCCATCCGTAACACTCCACGAGATATTCCATCAACGGTGGAATTACCATCATTCCAATTGTGCCCCCGGAAAGAGACACACCATTGGCAGTGGCGAAAGTGTCTGGAAAGTAGTCCATCAGAGGCTTGACAGACGACACTTGGATGAAAGCGAAACCAATACCTAAATACAGAACGGAAGAGGAAAATCACTCAATTATTCTTTTTTAAAATAGTAATTTCAGCACCAGAACAACAGAAGTTATCACAACAAAATTGTGATTTTATTGCTCTATAAACTTTAACCCAATCATCATTCCTATTCAAGTGTTTTATTCACTGTTGTGGTCCGTTAAGTACTTTAAAATTGGGCAAGATGTTGCTTTTTATAGATTTATTCTGCGTACTCTGCCTATTAATCATTGCGTCTTCGTTGACATTACACTGTGCTTGGTATACATTTAGTGGTGGTACTTGCTATTTGCATAGCAGAGGGATAGTAAGGGAGCTCAGGGCAGACACTTGAACCATCGCATCTAAACTAAACGCTTAATCCTCAAAGTCTATCGAATCCAGTTTATATATGCCTACAGGATGGAGTGTGAGCGGATTTCCTTCTGTTTAACTGGTCCAGTGAAACCAAAGGATGCTTGATCCTTTGGCTAAGGTGCTTGGAATCATCCAAATTCCAGGATTGTTTTTTTTAACCTTGAGCTAAATCTGTCCACTTGGACGGGGGAGATTCACTCTGCTGTGTGATGCTGTAATATTACCCAATTTGGCTAATAACAATAAACTTCGTGTTAAAATTGCTAACACTGTGATTAAGGGGTTTCAATTTCCTGGAGTTTATAGAGCTGTGAGTCATAAAGAAAAACTGAAGTTCGCTTTTCAGAAAGAAAAATCCCAGACTCTCTACTGTAGCCCTGTCCATAACATGGGCGTTTGAGGATGGTTTTGCAAGGTGCCTCCCAAAACAGCTCTGTATACTTTGTAGAGACCATGTTTGAACTGCTAACACTGGGACTACTATTTATTAGTTGTTTGTTGTTGTTGTTTTGCTTTAATGGCGCTTTCAGCAACTCAGGCTATTTGCGCCAATAACTGTACGTTTATTCATACACTTTATTAATCAGCACCACATTACGGAGTTCGGAAGAGAGTCCAGTTTTAGGGGCAGGAGGAAACCGGAGTACCCGGAGAAAACCTGCGAGAGCGAGTATGGACTGGAAACCAAATGCACTTAAAGCCTGGGCCAAGCCGGGACTTGAATACTATTCATTAAGGGCAAATTACAGTATTTAATGTGTGCCCCACGACAAATGCAATACGGTTTATCTCTGGGGAAATGGAATGGTTCCATTTCGTTGTTGGCTAACTATTTTTTACTGCCGTTTTCGTTTTCAATTTTGGCCTGGGACGTAATGAAACAAATCGTCGTCTTATAGTGAAGTTTATCAATTGGCTCTCTCTCAAAGTATATTATTTCCATGTTAAATCCCACTATGTTGGACATACTCATCAGGGCAAAGAACACTCCCATAACAGTCATGGTGTTCGAGAAAGGCGCAGCTGTCATACAGATACCGACCAGTAACCCGCCGACGATGAAAAGCTTCCTGCAGTCCCACACCTTCATCATGGCGCCAATGAAAGGACCTAGAAATCAATCAGATGGAAGCACAAGGTTGAGAATTTCTTGGATGTAGTGTTGCAGACAAGGCAGAGGGAACACGTGAAGCGAACTCAACCCATACTCAATGCTGCAGTTCAGTTGCATGAAGTGGCCCACTGAAAGAACGGAAATTTTGGACCCCATGTTTGCCCCTACGAGATTCAACCAGCTTTGAACAACTGTCTGAACTTTGTAAGCGCGTTGGGACAGCACTAGTAACATCTCGGGTATTTGAATTGAAATCTCTTGATAAAAAGCTTTCATGGCGAGCTGACACGGTTCTGGGAGCAGTAAAATGTTTAATCACATCATTCTTTCGTCTCTCACAGCCGGAAAATTGGAATATTTTAGAAATAACTATAGACTGAGTGGCAACAAATGAAACATCACCGAAATTAAGTAGTATAGAATTGCAACATGTATTCCTATGTTGTTCTTTTGGATCTGCATTTTTGCGCCAACCCAGCATGCTGACGAGTATGACAAATAATAAACAAAGATATTAGCCAAAAACTGGTGCTACCACGTACGGTTCATTTACACTGTATGCTCCCCGTGAAGTTGTGTAACGTGTTATGAACATTTTAAGGGAGTCGTGGTGGTCAACTCATAAACACGGTTGGTTGGTATTTTCTTCCAATACACAAAGGAGTGAACTTTATCCGATGTTTATCCTCCGTATGTACGTAAGATTGAAATTGAAAAGGTGACCACAGTTTTTTGTTTTCAGATCATTTCCCAAAGAAACTGTATGGTTTAAATGCCAAAGGTATTGGAAACTGCATGCCTGTGCTATTGTTTGCAGAGCGTCAGCCTCCTCACTCGAAACAGTAGTAGCTGAGTAGCTGATCACGCAGGGTGCGTGCTATGGTTTGAGTAGCTCCCAATTGTCGATACGGTTACATATACCGATTGCTCCAGCAAGATATGGGACGGAGGGGTACCCACCACATGTCCAATCCTATACACACTCTAGACAATTGTTACCTAAATCATCCCCCAAATGTCTGTACAGAATTCCTGAGCTTCCGATCACAGTGACCAACACAAAAGTGGGGGTACTCTCCGTCCCATATCTTGCTTGATATGGTTAGCCCGCCTGTAGAAGCTAATCTACCAGAATAGCTCATCGAAGGCAAAGTTTGACTAGCTTTTCTTTAGTTGTTTCGAGGTCGATGCATGCTTTTATGGTTTGAATACCAGCTCACTGTGGGTGCGAGGTCACAGAATAATGCTGAATTTCAATAGACGAAGGAGGTTATAGTTGTGTTTATCAGTTGGAGAGATTACATCCATCAAATACGAAAGCCCTATAGTGCCAGCAACTAGAGTGTATGTTTTCAAAAGGTGATATAAAGGGTGTCCATATAAAAAAATACACCGAGATAACAATTATTGTAATAGCAAAACTACTTGATAGGCCTAGGTGTATAGGGGAAAGAGATATACACATGTATCTCTAGAATAGGAAGAATGTCCTATTTGCCACTGTATACGGCTTGTAATGTTATTGACACAGATGAGTGAACTGAATGGTACTGGAATCGGCACTGTGACAGGTTTGCATGTTTGAAACAAGGCTCAACCATGCAAGTGAGCAGAATACCAAATGCCTTTGCACATTCCTGAAAACAAAGAATGTACCTAAATCAATCTATTCTGCTTTGGTTTCGCTACGTTTAATGTACATACGTTTAATGTACATTGCCCTCCACATGGCCGCCATTCCTGTCAATGCACATCTGACAATTTTTGTCTGGGTATACTTTTATGTAGACACCCTGTATAATACATTTTTTAAAGTTTGTTTTTATGAAGAAGTTTTCAATTTCGTTTTTGAAAAATATTTTTTCAAAAGTTCTTTCGTACGATTTATTCTCCAGTTCGTTCTTATACGAGATCTATTTTACAATGTGCTTCACTTTCCGAGGGTATATGCAGGTGTATATATACTCAATGACACTTTCGGGTGCGGAGAGGGTCTGTAGGTATTGATACCATTGCTCGAGTCTCGTGGTCGCACACGAAGACGCCGTAAGTGATGTTGACAACAAAACATTCAAAGGCTAAGACCTGAACGGTTTGAAAATTTGTACACCGATTGTTACTTCAGATATACCCAACAAATATATTTGCAAATGATGTCATACCGAGACAGACATAATAAAAAGGATGGGCCTAAGTGGAAAATCGTTTTTGTTGAATATCGTACAGGTCTTGTCGGCCGAATTTATCATCTTCGCACATAACATACATACTTTTGCTGATATG